TGCTGTCCAGCGCGGCAGTTCGCCGATGAGTTGTTTTGGAAGAAGATCTTCAGTGTAGGGTGTGAGTCGAGCCAGATGATACCGTGACCCGGGTCTCTCCACGCTCAGCCAAGGAATACTGACCTGACACGCCAAGCATGGTCTGTGTGACGAGGAGCATCACCAGCAAGGTCGACGTGATCCGGAACTACACGTCCAGGCACCCGACGCAGCAAAACTACAAGTGCGCCATCTGGGAGGCCGCCGCCGCGACGGCCGCAGCGCCCATGTTCTTCCGCTCCGTCACGCTCAAGACGGGCGAGGAATGGGTCGACGGCGCCATGCGCCGGAACAACCCGATCAACGAGGCCATGAACGAGGTCAACCGCGAGAGCGAACGCGGCTGGGAGGGCCGCGCCATCGGCTGCACCGTGAGCATCGGCACCGGCGTCGCCCAGGTCCGCGAGGTGTCCAACTCGGCGGGCGCCCTCGTCAAGAGCGTCGTCAAGATCATGACCGACTCGGAGGACGTCGCCGACGCCTTCCTCGGCAGCTCCTTTGGGCAGCAGCTCGAGCGCAGCCACCGCTACTTTCGCTTCAACGTGCCGCAGGGCCTGCAGGCGCTCAAGCTCGACGAGTGGAGGGAGACGAAGAGGATGAATGCTTTCACGATGGAGTACCTGTCCAAGTATGAGACGGGCAAGTCGGTCGTCACTTGTGCCAAGTCGCTCCTTGATCCGGACGCTGCGAGTTAGTCTTGCTTTCGTACATGTCGCGCGTCGAGTGGGGAGATCAGCCACTGATGATTGTTGCGAGGCAGTTCCGGTTGTCACGCGCAAGTTGACTCTCCGAGGTAGTCCATGTGTGAATTTCATCGACAGGGCGGCCTACACGAATGTTCTGAAGGACTTCTTCTGGACCTACGTGGGCGATACGAGCCAGATCTTTGTTCTTTGGGGTCTAGGCGGTGTTGGGTACGCAGTCTCTTTTTCTTCTCCATCTCCATCTCTCTTCCTTACCAATAATACCTGATCAACCCCGTAGTCGCTACCTCTGACATCCACCAAGGAAAACCCAGCTAGCTTTAAAGCTTGCCGACACGATGAGCCAACGGGTATCGGTCATATGGATCCGCGCAGACCAGTCGAATAATTTCAAGCTAGACTACTCCAAAGTCTTGAATCGGATGCTTCACGATGATGATCAGCCCCCCAAGCTCGAGACCATGACTGGTGCCGTTCTAGACGACCATCTCGAGCAGACCAGGGACTACCTCGAGCACCACCCAGGCGACTGGCTCCTGATTCTAGATAACGCTGACGACATGACAGCGTTCCGGGAGTCCGTGGAGAGTCATCTACCGATGCGAGGCAGGATCCTCGTCACCACGAGGGACCCGCGGTTCCAGGGCGATTTCGGAGCGCCAGACGATGGCATGAACGTTGTGCCCATGGACGACGAACAAAGCGTCAAGCTCTTGCTGAAGCTCATCCCAGCCAGGCTCCAGAACGGCGACGACGAAGAAAGCGAACGAGCCACGGAACTCGTCGACCTGTTGGGCAACCTGCCCCTCGCCATCGCCCAAGCGGCAGCGAACATCATCGACCAGCAAGTCTCGCTGAGCGAGTACGCGGCCGCCTTCCGCGAAGCAACCGACAAGTTCGAGGCTCTCAAGGCAGCGACGCACGACCGACGGACCCGCGACCCGCGGAACGCGGTGCAGTCCGTGGCGCTGACCTGGCAGATCTCGTTCGAGCGCCTCGAGCAGTCGTCGCCGCTGTCGGTGACGCTCCTCGGCTACCTGGCCTGTCTGCACTGGGACTCGGTGCCGCGCGACCTGCTGCGGCAGTTTCCAGAGTTTGCCGCGCTCAGCGACATTGAGTTCCGCAACGTGCTGGCGCGCCTCATGCAGCTGTCGCTCGTCGAGGAGTACGCCGTGGACGACTGGCCGCAGCTGCGCATGCATCCCATGACGCACGAATACGCCTGGAAGCGCACCAAAGAGGACCCCGCCGCGTTCATCACGGGTTGCTTCCGGCTCCTGGGCGCCATCTTCCCGCTCGTCAGCGGCGAGGACGACAATACCTGGCAGCTCTGCTCCTACCTCGCGTCGCACGCGATGCGCGTCGTTGGCCTGGCCCAGTCCTTGGCCCTGCAGAGCGAGAGCCAGCCGGGCCTGATGCACGTCCTGGCACTGTACCTGAACGCCTTTGGCAACGTTCACGTGGCGTGCCAGATGGCCAGCGAGGCGCTCGAGATGGCCGAGCACTTTTGGCCCGATCAGCCGTCGCTCCTCAACAGCTTCCGCTGGACCAAGATTCAGTGCTTCACAAACGCCCAGCGCTTCGAGGAGTCGCTCGTGGACATTGACACCTGGGCCGAGACGGCCGACCTGACTCTGGACGCAGACGCCGACGTCGCGGGCGCGTCGGCATCTGTCCCCCGCCTGAGCGGACAGAAGCGCGCAGCACTGAACCAGAAATACTCTGCGCTCAAAGAACTGCGACGCTTCGACGAGGCGCATCTCCTCAGCAAGCAGCTCGAGCCCCCGACCGAGGGGACCGAGAACGAGTGGACGGCCATGGCGCTCATCACGAAGCACAACAGTGCGCACGCGCTCCACAGGGGAGGCCGCAGCCGCGAGGCGCGCGTCGTCGTTGACGAGGTGCTCAGGAACGTCAGGGGACCGGACGGGGAGCTGAGGGTCAACCGACGGGAGTATCTCGCCTTCCTGAACCTCAAAGCAGACCTGCTGCTGCGCGGCGGTGACGGGACGGGCGACATGAACGAGGGGCTGGCGCTGTTCAAGCAGGTGTACGACGAGCAAATCGCAACGACGGGCGTGGTCGACTCGGACACGTGGATCGCGGCCAACAATGTGGTCAACACGCTGGCAGACGCTCCGGATGCATTTCCCGACTCGGCGCAAACGAGCGCGCGCATATTCGTCGAAATGCTGACGGCGTGTGCGGCGCCGGGCATGAAGCAGCTGCGAAACCAAGATTCGGGCAAGTTCCAGAGGCACGTACGCGTCTTTCTTATTCACTTTGACGAGTTCTTCAGAACGGGGCGTGTTCCGGCCGCCGAGAGCGACAGGCTCCTCCATCTGCGCGAGACCCTGATGAACAAGTTTCTCCTCCAGACGGACGTCACTGTTTTCGTCGAGACCTTCTCGGTTCACAATACGCGTGGGGTGCACCTCCAACAGCGGGGGCGCGCTGCCGAAGCAGAGATATGCCATCGAGATGCCATGAAGGGTCTCGTCGAGTGGGGGGCCATGGGGGCTGACAGGCCGCCCGTCCCGGGGTTGAACTCTGCCAAAGACTATGAGGAAACCGTCGCGACCTATCACTACAACATTATGCTAGCAATAGCTCGTCAAGGCCGTTTAGAGCACGCGCGCGCCTACCGAGAGGAGAACAAGAGGTCACTAGAGTTTGCGGAAACGTGCTGGGGGCCTTTGGAGGTGAGAATGCAGACTGACGAGATGGACAGGCTCGTCCATGCGGAAGCACAGAAGCGATTGCTCGATGGGGACGTGCCGAGTGATGATCCCGAGGGCTGGTGGATGCAGCACGATGTACATCTCTCTCGATCCAAGATGAGATATGGAGTTCTTAAGGTTCCAAAGGCCGGAGAGAACATGGTAGTAGTTGTTGACGACAAGGAGATCAATAATGCGAGTGTACAAGAAGAACGGGAACTCGAAAAGCAGCAACAAGAGGTACAACAACTACAACAAAGCGATCCAGATCCACGGGAAACAGCCAAACCACAGACAGAAATCTCCACAGCGAAGACTAGTAGCAGATGGGGGAAACGGCTGAAGCTTGCGCTAAGGGAGAGGATGAAGGTCTCTTCACCAGAGGCGGTCCCTGTAGCTAGGTAGGCCAGTGGCTGTCATCGACCTAATAGAAGGTGATTCCTGAGTCTGAGCCCATCACAGCTTCGACAAACAGACACTCGAGACTCGGCATTGATCAGGTGAAGTTGTCTGCATCGTGACTGATGAAATCTGCAAGGCTCTTCCAAGCTATGATAAGGTCGGCTCATGAGAGTGACCAGTTGATATTTAGGGTTTACCGCGACAACTATAGACACTGAGAGTACCACTGATTCTGCGCACGACAAGTGCTACCAGACTGACAGCAGGTCGCACCGCTCCATCCCTGGCCACCACACTGGGCCCAACGCGCAGCACAGTTGCCCCCTCCACCAGGCGGCGGCACAGGAGGCGTGGTAGGCGGAACCGCAGGCGGCGTGGTAGGCGGCACCGTGGGCGGAGGGGGCGGCGAGCTTCCGCCTCCGACAGCCTGAGTGAAGAATGTCCAAGTCTCCGTAGCGATCCAGTTCTCGGTGCCCTGACCGCGGTGCTCAGGGACATGGTCGCCGCCGTGGGCGATCCACCAGACCGGGAAACCTTCCCGACAGCTGTATTCCGTCTTGATGTGAGCGTTGGATCCGCCAGGTGGCTCAGGTGCATTCTGAGCTGCACAGCCATTGAGACGTAAGAAGCGGTCGCGGAGCTCATGGCCGTTACTGATGGGCAAGACGCTGTCAATAACCCCGTGGATACCGAGGTAGGCAACGGGGGTAGTGCCGCCGGAGCAGCCACTCAGCCGAGCACCGGCAATGACGGAGACGGCACGCCAAATATCTGTGTTGACCCAAAGACATCAGACATGTGTAGCTATCAAAAGAGGGAGTCTTCACTTACTGGGGCGTGCGCACGCAAGGGCGTTTGACATGGCGCCGCCGTAGCTGAAGCCCGTGGCGAAGCGCTGCGTTTCGTCGACGCACAAGGCATCCTGGACCTGGGCTAGGATTTGGTCGACAAATGTAATGTCTGAGTCGCCGCTGTTGGCCCAGCCAGCATTCAGACCATTGGGAGCCACAAAGATGGTCGACTCTTCGGCAAGAGCCCGCAGGCCGTAGTAGTTTGGGGCCACGTTGCCCATGTTGCCTCCAAGCCAGTGGAAGCCAAAGACGAGCCTGTACTCGCGGTTGGCATTATAGTTGGCAGGGATCTGCAGTATGTACTGCCGGTCACCGATGTTCTTCGTGCCGCTTGAGGGAGGCGTCTTGCCGCATCCTGGGGTTCGCGCGAGAACGTTCTGCACGGAGGCGGCGAGGAGCAGGAGGAAGAGTGTCGCAAGGGACTGCATTTCGGCGACCTTGAGAGTGACAGATCGACCTGAATGAAGATATCCACGGACAGAACCTTTGACTCAACTACCATACTAGAAGACCACTCTTATATGCGTCCCGACCGAGTGCCACACCTTTGCCCTGTGACCTAAATTGGGAATACCGGACTTGGACTACGAAAGCACACCGGAGCCACGGCGCCGACATGGAAACGGAGCATCATGGGATTCGGTTCTTTGGTTCCGCAAGAATGACGGTGCTGGTTGTATGGGTAGGGTAGGCTGATGTTACGGTGATCTGGCTGCAGCGTAACAATGCTCCGTAAGAACATTGCCCAGCACTTCCTCAACAGGTTTCCCCGCATTGTCGGCAGTTGATCCAGGCATGCGCGAGCAACTGACCTGATGACGCCCAGGACGTTGACTCGATGGCTGACTCGGCGAGGCGACTTGATGTCGAGATCGAGACAATTTGGTCATGGCGCTGACTGGGAGATTCGCCCCAACTCGCGGAAGATCAGAAGTGGGTAGGGTGGTTTGAACCACAAGTCCCGTTCGTGACACTTCCACATCATACTCTTGGCCCTCCGAACCCGGCAGCGAGTCGAATCTCCTTGGGCACAGCGGGCGCTTTCGGCTCAAATGCATCCACGACGCTCCCCCCGACGACATCGACAGCCCCCCATCTTTGTTCTCTTGACCGCCGCGGCCCTTTGCCTTGGCCCCACACGCCAATCTCATCGAGAAGCACCTCAACCACCCAGACAAACCTCGCGTCGCCTGGCGCGTCGCCGAAGATCCTCTCAGCGTCTTCAGCGCTGCGCGGCACACGGGTACACAAGAGGTGTAGGTCAAGCGTCTGTGCAAAGACCATACCGAAACTGGGCTTGTTCCGGCGGGAGGCGGCGCTTTGGTAGCCAGCGATGGTCAACGGCGGAGGGTTGAAGACGGAGCGGAGCGTCGGGTCTAGGGGGCGGGAAGAGGGCTTGCGCGACGGTGTGTCGACCGCTGGGGCGGCTGTGCCGGGTAAAGAAGGGGCAGTGGTGTTGAGGAGGAGGATGAGGGGGCTGGTTGGCAGGGTTCTCGATAGGTGGCATAGATGGGAAGAAAGAAGATTGATGCTGTTGTGGGCGGCAGACTTGTCTTGGCGTGCGAATAGCGTGGTGAGAAGAGTCGAGAAGTGGGTGATGACGATGATGTCTGGTGCAGTCGACGTTGCACGTCTGGGTGCGTTCGAGGTCGCGACCCGTGAAGTATCCATCGTGACTGTAGGCTTTTCAGCCGTCGCCGGCAAGGGGGTTTCGCTGCGCACCGGGGATGGAGGGTGTACTGCAGGGGGGCTTTCTGGACTGCTTGACACCACTTCTTTCGAAGTCACTGCGTCGCTGTGGCGGGGAGGATCTCCCAACTTGACTGCCGACGCATCCAAGGGAGCCAGTACTCGTAGAACCGCATCAATAGAGTCGGTTGAAGAGTTGGCTGAAGATCCGGCTAAAGACATGGGCGAGGAGGCGGCGTCGAGAGCACCACCCGCAACGATCTCCTCTTCGTTCAACTCGAGACCTGCCGGCACGCTGCCCGAGCTTGATGCCGGCGGCGACGACAATGGCGAGGACGAAAGTGACGACCCGAAATCTTCGTCTTCACTGTCCGCAATCTCAGCCGGTCCAAGGTTCAGCTCCGGCATGACGACCCTCTCGTCCGTCTGGATCTTTTGTGTTGCTGGTGGCGGCAGCATATCTTCGTCCCTGGCGTCAATGATGGCCGTCTTCTTGGCCACCAACTCGTCTTCGTTCGTCGTCTCTTTCAGCTCAGTCTCGAGGCTCGCATCTCGCCCGACTGGACTTGCGTCCCTTCCTACACCAAGACCGGCTCCATGAATGTCGCCGGCAGCCTTGTCTCCCACAGTCTCTCGTGTCTCATCGCCGTCAACCTCATCCAACACCTCCCAGACCCCCTCCAGATCGAACACGGTCGCCATAGAGACCATTCCAAGGCACTCCCTGATCGCAGCCCTCAGCTCATCCCCCTGCTTCCCAACCTGCAGCAGCCTCGCCCGCACCGCATCCCGCAGCAGCGGCAGGACACCCGCAGCCGCCAGCGTCGTCAGGATCACAGCTCTCTGGCCCCCCTCAACGAGGCTCCGCGCCACAGCCTGAAACGCAAGCCGCATGCCAAAACTCTCATCCTCGGCACTGATTCCCGTCACGCAGCCCCTCTCGAGGCCCCCGAGGAGAGCCCCGTCGTCAACTTCCCGGCATCCCGTCAAGACGGCGCCCCGGCGCCGCAGAGCATCTCTTCGGCGACGTTCGCGTGCCGCGAGCAAGGATGCCGAGACGGGCTCGATGGGGAAGTGGGAGCTGGGCTGCGAGGGAGGCGGGTCGTCGGCCATGTGGCGGCCTGTTGCTATTTGACGTCGCAGGATTGGATGAGGCGAGACGAAGAGAGGGTAACTCCAAGATCCATCAGTCTCTCATACTATTCCACCCGATGAACCAGCCACCTTGATTCGAATGAATAAGCGCGACTAATGACGCGAATCATGAAGAGATGATGGCGCGTGTCGAGACCTGTGCTGGCAGGCGGTTAGACGGGGAGGTGTCACGAAGTCACATGATGATGTTGGTTGAGCAGGTACCTCATCTAAGGTACGTACCTGCTGAGGAGTAAAGAAAAGAGGTTTTGCGGCGCACACCGTTTGCGCCTTGCATCAGCCACCGTCAAATGACGTCAAGGGTTACTTCACGGTGCTGTTGCCATCATTGACGCCAAGTGGCACTCGAGGTATCACATGCAATGGAATTGAAAACACACCATCCTGATGGAGAACGAGATCAGAGGATTCAACTCGTAGTATGGGCGCTAAATAGGCAGCGTTGCCTTCTGAGGCTAGCTGCTTTGAAGGAAATATGAAAAGACCCGCCAGGCGAATCGTTCAACCCATCTCTTCTCGTCTAAAGAATTATGTGCATACTCGAACAAGGTATCACAAAAACAAATCATAGGTAGAAACGGGGCCCGTGCATAACTTGCTTCCATCGTCTGCCTCGCTGGCGTCACGACCATCCGTTCCGGTAGGCTCTCAAAACGACCCCCACATCAACTGTGCCGTTGCGCCTCCCCGACATGCCCTTCCGCTTGCTCACCGTGTCGAGACACGCACCATCTCAAAGCCCAGGCCCTAAGCGGCAGTCCCAGGCGGCATGTTATCAGAGACCTGCCGGTTTCGTCGGCCGCCCTTCAGACTCTTGACTCTGGAGAGAAATCCGCCAGAAGGTTTGTCACCGTCTTCGTTCGTGGCCCTGCGTTCGAGAGGACCTCCTTGCTCGGAGCCGCGTCGGGGCACCGGTGGCGGCGGGCTGATAGGTGACAGGGGACCGGCCGAATCCGTCCTCTTGACAGTGATGGTCTCGCCCTCTTTGCCATATTCATTGAAAAATGGGTTCCGCTCACTGCCATACTGGCTGCCTGTGGTGGCGGGAGGCATGCCGTCAGGTGGGGAGCGCGGATAGGCAGCCTCGGGGTTGGTCATGCGACCTGAAGAGTTGAACTCGCGCGGCTGTCTTCCGTTCAGGTTGCGAATGCGGTGGGCTAGAGACTTCTTGCGCTGCATTCCTTCATTCTTCGCCTGTTCGGCCTGCTCAGCCTCAAGCTTCTGGATTGCCGTGCGGGTGGCAGGAGTGCCTTCGAGGAAGGTTGAAGTGCCCAGGCCGAGAGACTCTTCGCCGTGCAGCATCGTGGTACGCGCGCTCGGGTCAAAGACGGGCATCTCGCCGCGGGCCGAGGGGTAGTTGTACCCGTACTTGTTGACACCGGTAGAGTACTCCTTGAAAGCCTCATCGGTGCCATTGCCCATGAAGGTGGCGTGGTCTGGGTTCTTGTTGAGTGGGCCGGATCCCCCAAGCGACATGTTGAGCGAGTCCTCGGGGAAAGCTTGCATAGGCGCACGGCGACTGCCCTTACGGTTCCGGTTGGGGTTAACGGCGTCAAAAGGACCGTCGTGATGGACTACGTCGTGGTCAGCCATGATCTGATGGAAGGAAGATTTGAAAGGCGCGTGGTGACTTACACCCGCCACCAAAAAGGCTGGTATGGTCGAGCTGGTCAATGACATCAAGCTTGCGTTGAGGCTTCTTCTCCTTGTCTTTACCTTCGCGGTGACGGCGCTCACGCTCACGGCGTCGGGCCTCGCGAGCCTTCTTCTCCTCCTCAGGGATTGGCTTCTCCAGAATTGATGATTCCGAGTTGCGACGCGGTCTCCCAGCTGGTGGGCGTCGGTGCGGGGAGTCCGCGGGCCCGGATGGTCGAGAACGATCCGGGCGGTTGCTATCGCCTTGCAGTTTGCGAGCTCTGAGGGCCTCTTCCTGCGACCGAGTCGGTCGGTGGCCAGGCGGTGGGACCCGGCGTCCGGGCGGCGGCATGTTCTCACGACCAGGGGGAGGCGGGGGACGGTTGGTCGGGCGGGCTGGGATGGGTTTCTTGTCTTCGATGGTCAAGGTGTCCTGGCCATGTCAGTCAAAGTGCATTTTGTGGCGTGTTGACGCCAAGGTTGGTGGAAGCGCGACGGCCACAGTCAAGCAAAGTGAGTACATACAAAGAGTTCCTCCGCCGTTGGAGACGCCTTGGAATCAAATTTGGTCGACATGTCGTTCAGGTCAATCAGGTTTGGCTGGCTGGAAGAGTAGTTTGGGTCGAGAAATGGATTGCGCGACACAGGACGCGGAGGAGGAATGGGGTCGTCGAAGGGTGAGGTCGCTGTGGGCGTGAGTGATGGGCTTTTGTTGAATGCGCCAGCAGGAGAAGCTGCCCGGTTGCGAAAGGGGTTGTTGGACGAGAGATTTAGCGTTAGGCCAGCAGACCGACTAGGCTGGGAGCCTATAAAGCAGGGACGAGGTCAGCAACAGCACTGGCTCAACGGGCGGTTCAATGCATGTAAATGACGAGGTCGAGAGGGGACATGAAACACCATCCCTTCAACATGACACAACAGGTTCGACGACTGGGTGGAGCGCGTTGTAGCGCAGCGTTTGCTCGAGATGCTGCGCGGTCCGTGATAGGGAGGCAGGTGGAGGAGGGGCGAGGGGGTACAAGGGGGGGTGGGAAGGAATGCTGGTTGCCGCAACCCCATAGGCTGTAGGCGGGTTGACAGCCCAGTAGTGGTGCACCAGCGCAGGGAGTCAACGCGTCAAAGGGCCGGGTCAGGAGCGAGCGACAGGGGAAAAATGGGCAATGCAGGGAAACAGGGAAACAAAAGCCGTCCAAAGGTAAAAAAAGGGGCGGAAGGTTTCCAGCGCGTGCACGCGTGCATTCACGCATTCGGCTTGGCTTACCTGGCTGGGTTGAGAATGTGGGTAGAGACGACATGGTGAGGAAGAATCCGTGGTATTCCTCCGAGGTCGTATGGCTTGTCAGGCGGAAAAGTGGAGGTCTTGAGCTTATGACGATAGACGGGAGATCAATGGGACGCTGGAGGTGTGCCTCGGCGCTTTTCTCTCGAGGTCTCTTCAGGCAACCTTGGGTGATCTGCCCTCTGTGACGCGGCAGTCTCGAGGCGGACGCTCCGCTGATGTACCTCAGGGATCAAAAAAGCCAAAGCGCTGGGGATCGATGGAATGTGTCGAGCGGGCGGCAAGTGTGCGACGTGCGTCCGGCGGCCAGGCTGGAAACCCGGGCGGCAGGAAGCCACTTGTCGGAAGGGAGCCAACTCAAAAATGGCTGCGTGGACCCCGGCAGGAAGAAACACCGGTGGATTCCGGTGGGACCCTTCGGGGGGGGGGGGGGGGGGTTACTGAATAGCAATGGCTAGTATTCCGGGTCGTTCGGTCTGGTGTTCGGTCTGTCGGGGGCTTGGGCGGATCCGACTCAGGATGAACCAGGCGTTGGAAGTCGTGGAATCCAAGCAGACGGGGCGCCAAGACGAAGGTCGTCTCGTTCGAGAGGTCGACAGCGCGCAGTATCTATCTGGGCTGATGATGTGAAGCAGATCGGTTTGTCCCGTCTCTATTCGCACGAAGTGCTGTTGGGCAGACCAGGTAGGCTACCGGGTATCACGGAAACCAATGTTTCGAGCGTCGAAGTGCAAGGTCGCGAGACTGTGACACGCTGCAGCACCGGGACAACAGTTACGGTTCTGGATCAATACCGAATGCTGCCTGCGCTGGATTTTCTGTATTTTGCTGTGGGCCAGATACAAGTTGCTCCCAAGGTGAATCGGATTATTTATGATGTTTGCGAAGGTCCGAGGTGGGAAAGATAAGAAGTTTGTGATGATGATGATGATGATCCGAAGCGATGGTCGGGGGCCACAGGCGTAGGCAGAGAGTGCGAAAGCTGAGCAGCGTCTTGTGATGGGAGTATATGATGCCGTTCAAATGTAAGAGCCCAGAGGTACACAAGAAGCAGACGGCTGTCCAACAATGTGTCAAAACCAAGCAGGAGCGGTCCTTGAGTTTGGTTCTGTCGGTTCGTGTCGGTTACTCGGGAGGAAATGCGCTCGTGGACGTGTGTGGCGAGGATGCCTGGGAGAGGAGAGAGCGAAGGTGTTTGGTCGGAAAAAAGGCGTGGCGTGTCGAAGCCAAGATGTTGCGACGTATTGCGAACGGGACTCAGCGGCGTAAGGCGAAGCAGGCAGGGCAGAGTCAAACCAGGTCAGCTGTTCTTCTTGCGGTCGCAAGTCGGTAGAAAGAAGGCAAGGGCAGGTGCAGGTGCGGGCGCAGGTAGCATTTGACAGTTGGGGTTGGCGGGGAGGACGAATGGCAGGAGCACCCAAAACAGATGGGAGGCGACGGCAGCGGCAAGGCGGTCAGCGGTCAGGAACGGTGAGGGGTGGCCCAGGGGAGAGGGGGTAGGAGGGGGGAAGGGGAAGGGGCGAGCGAAGGGTGGAGGAGAAGCTTAAGGGGGTCGTTGCCCATTGGCGAATAGATGGAAGCACAGGAGCCAGAACCTGACCCGTGATTGCTCTTTTGATTGTCTAGCTCATCCTTACTCGTGTTCATCAGTGGCTAACTCCTGACCAGTTTGGTGAATTGTGGCTTGCGTCGTGGATCAGGCCCAGCCTGCCTGTGTGCCTGCGTGCCTGCGTGCGGTACCTGAGGGAAGGACTCTTGGGGAAGTTCCTCCAGTCCTTGCCTCCAGAGTTGTTTCGCCCTTTTGACACCAGTGCCTTCCAGCGTCGACCTCGACGCTGAGCTGTGATCACTTCTTTGTGACCAGACACCATTGAAGATGCCTTTGACTGAAGGTCGACTGATCACCGAATGCCCTCTCAATCCCGCTGCGAGATCTTGTTCTTGCTCCACAATAGGGAAGAGACCCCTAATTCATCTTTCGTCAAAGTGGAGTTCCGCTGCACATCGTCAGGCCCCCCCTGCTCTCGAATCTGCCAGTGGCCTCTCTTGATCGTAAAGCCTCCCCAAGATGG